TACTTTACGTGTCATCATGTCTCCACTTGTTCCTGCTTCTCCGCTTGTTGCTGGTCTCTCTGTGTTTTTCTTGGATAAACCGGTATGTAATCTGAGTTTCTTAGTTGTTGTACAGTACTTATCTGTTTAGAAAGTTCGAGGCAAAACAAAGTTAGAACAGCTAAAACAAGTCCCCTGCTTCTAATCCACTGACGATATAGTATTTTGTCAGCATATATTAACAATGATAATTGTGTTGTATTTCTAGGAATTAGATTTCAATCTAACAAATCTCCTCAATGTGCTTGACGTACCTGGCCTCAGGTATGCCGTAATTTGCTAACCTACTCTATAGGCTGTAAGATAATTATCACTTATTTACTGAGACCGAGGGAAACAGTGTGTTTTGTGGACCCGAGACCGTCGATGGTCCACAGACGTCGAGGGTCCACAAAACGCACTGCTTTCCCGAGGTCTCAGTAAATAAGTGTTTTATTATATATCAATAGTCAAAGAAACAACAAATTAAAGAACAAATGAACGTAAATACATGAAATATTTTATTGTTAAAACGTTATATTAAACACTGGCTACACTGCAGTTACTTAAAGCGAAAGTTTTAATTACGTACTAGGCATGTCCAAAGGTCGCATCTTCACGTGATGGCCCACGTGATTTTTTTTGTTATTCGCCGGTCGATAACGTATTATCTCCCTCTCGCGCTGTTGCGAGGGAGACAGCCTAATTTCGTCACTCTCACGTGATATGCTCTCAACCAATAAAACACTAGAAAAATGCGACTTTGATTATTGATATATAATAATACATAACTAGAGGGCACTCAGAGACTGCATACCTCCGCCCGTTACTCGGAAGTGAAACGCAACCTTGGAATTTCCTAAGAAATCCACTTTATAATTCTTAAGCATAAAAGATTTCAGGCCCCCGCGAATTGAAATCGAATTGCTAATAGATCATATTACTGTTGTTGTACTGTACAGGGTGTCTCAAAAAAACCCAAAATCATTGAAATTGACGTATTGTTCGATATTCAATGCCCTAGCACTAAGTTAATCCCACGAGTGCATAAAAGATTGACATAACTGCTATAATGAATGGTAATACTAAGCGTAAACTTGTTATGTCAGGCATAAAGTACTAAACCCACGAATGCATATTACGCATATTACAATTTACGAAGCATTTTTAAATTCCCATGACCAAACAAACGTTCACTTTACAAAGATATTTTAATTTTTTAAAACAAATTAATCACCCTGTCAAAATCCTTTGTGTTACGGCATTGAAATTCGAACAATACGTTATTTCAATGATTTTGGTTTTTTTTGAGACACCCTGTACTGTACAGTACTTGTAAAATAAAAACTTATTAAGTGTCATTAAATAAATACATAAATTTTGCTTTATGCACTCGCGCGTGCAGTAATTTTCACAGTTGTGCTATTTTAAATTCCCAGGCAGCTAAAATCTTTTGTCTTTAAAACAATGTCGATTTCTTGGGAAATTCCGAGGTTGCGTTCGTTTTATACACCCTGTATTGAAGTAATCTAATGTTGTTAGAATTTGAATGGACTGGCACTTTGCTGAATGTAATAATGCGTAACTCCGTAAGCCTTGTTTTAGACATTGAATTTCGGTCGCGTGAAATGCAACGAAGACAATAGATAATGAAGGCCGAAGCTTAATGAGGTTTATCATCTCATTATTGTCTTAGCACTGAGTGCATAAATTATACACGTCATAATTACGCATTCAGTAATATTTTTTGTTAATTGACCGGGAAAAGCAAGACAAAATTTTGTTCATTTCTCGTTCAATTTTTAACCAAATTCAACCAAATTTTAATCGGTTCTTCCTTAGCCGATGGGAAATGCATTCAAAAAATTTCGTACGGATATTTTTGGTATTTCTTGAGTTATCGTGCTCACAGTCAAACACACACACATACACACACACATACACACACACATACACACACACATACACACACATACAAACCCAGATGATTACATAACCTCCTGGCGGAGGTAATAAAAACGAAGTACTGCAATACTATAAATATTTACCGCGTCCACTTTGTCTTTGTAGTAACTTTAGAACAAAAACTGGCGTTTCGATAGAAAAGATCCCTTGGCTTTTTATACGCTGTATTTTTATTGAATAAACTAAAACAGGTGACGAACAGTCGGGAATGGTTTTCTACAGCCAATCACTTATAAGAAAACAGCCGTAAACAACCTAATTAGAACAAAATCTTTGTATTGTTTGAGTCGTGTATTGAAAATTTAATTCAGTTTACAAGCTACTAAAATGGAAAAATCGCGCGTTTACATTGGAGATTTAAAAAAATCGCCCTAGAAATCGTAGCAAAAATTGCAAGTGTAAACAAGCCTTAACCAACTGAGCTACAGAGGCCAGTTGTTTATATATATATATATATATATATATATATATATATATATATATATATATATATATATATATATATATATATATATATATATATATATATATGTATGTATATATATATAGCTTAAGATTTTGGTTTACGAAACACAAACAGTGCTCAATACCATATAGATAGGGCGTAATATAGTTTTTCGTTTTACCTCAAAAAACCACAACAGTCTGTTTCATCCGTATAGGAATCATGATGATTCCTATACGGATGAAACAGACTGTTGTGGTTTTTGAGGCAAAACGAATCCGCTAAAAGCCCTACTATGAAGTCACAATCCAGGATCCGAACTAAATTGCAAGCTAAATCCACAATCCGAGCCAAAATGTTAGGTAAATCCGCAATCCGCTGTATTAGTAAGATCCACAAATCCGTGTAAAATATTCGCCAGATCCGAAATCCAAACAATTTTTTCTGTGAAATCTGACGATCCGAAAAGCTATTCACCCCTCCCCCCCCCCCTAACAATTATACCATTTGCTCTCGTCACAATTATACCATTTGCTCTGCTGAGCTGATAGCCAAATCTGTATAAAATTCTGCAGAACCCAATTTAAAAAATATATAAACATGGTTTTTCGAAATAAGTTTTTTTGCGCTCTACAGAATTTTTTTAAACTTGGTCAGCGAATAATTGTTGACTCGAGCGGGATTCGAACTCGTATCTTCGGTTTCTAGATCGCCGCTCTACCCATTGAACTATTGATTCAACAGGGATTGGTAGCGAATCTTCTCCAATTTAAGTACACGAAATAATTCGTGCCGACTTAACGGTTGTCTTGGAGAACACGCAGTGTTACAATTCTATTTCAGAGCCATCTTCAGGGATATGAACTCGAAGACGCGAGTTCGAAGATTACAACAAATTTTTCGTTGTAGTTTTCAGTGTCAGAATAAATATGACATTGATGCTAAATAATTATTGAGGTTAAACTGTTTTGGTGTTTCGGCCTTTCTCAGTAATTTTACCATGCAAATAACTGTACATTTTTTCCGCCTAATTTCAGATCAATATTTCTTCGGAACATGTGAGTGTAAAAGGTGAAGCCAATCTGGCAGGAGCTCTTGTCCTTGTCAGGCAATATATTTCTTCCATTTCCAAGGATTCTTTGATGCAGCAGTTTGAGGTAACATTGTACATATACTGGAATCTGTCCCTCTCTAATGCAAATGCAATGCATTAATTATTATATTAACTTTATTATTTTATAGATGCTATGTTATCAAGCTGTTGACCAAGTCCTGTGCCTTATATCATCTGCAACGATAACCTTGGCAAGCGAGACGCCCGCTAGAACGTTCCTTGCGTTACTTGTTCTGGATATTCTTCAAGTGGTGTGCGATATTTTTGAGCGTGATAGAGCCCAGGACCTTCTCGCACCTTTGATTGCCACGTTCTTTTCATGTTTTGAGTCTTGTAATTCTCCCACTCAGGCAGAAAAAGGTGCTTCCAGCAAACAACCTTGTGCGAACGAGATACGCGAGACATTCACTGCATCATTAGCATATAATGCGTACATTCTGCTTTGTAAGTCTCTCGGTGACACATACATGTCAGCAACTTTAGATAAAAACTATGATATGATATGGCAGTTATGTTGTTCGGTAGACCAAGCGCTGTCTAACCACACACCGTCCCCAACTTCTCAACCAGTCTTTGTATTATCAGACGAGGAATCTGAGACAGTACACGCAACATCAAAAGTTAAACCCACGCCAAATGCTACGGAGAAGAAGTCTTTTGATTCAGAAAATTTTTCGCCAGACATGGAATCTCGTAAGGATGTGAAGAGTGCAAGTTTAGAACGAGCCGTGCCTGCCCAATTGGAAACAAGGTATAATATGCAGTGGGCGATTATCTATTACTGAGTGATATCGATACTGTCCGGTACCAGGCTACAGTGCATGGGAAGTATAGTGTACACCAAGACATTACAGCGGAAATGTTTTCGAGTTTCCGATAACTTGTGACATTACCCTGTTTTGTTCTAACTAAATTACAAATGACAGCGTTTTTGTATATGCGCAAACGCAAATATAATGCTATCGTAAGTGTGCTAGTGTGTTAGTGTATGTATGTTACCTTGCAGCCAATCAACGACAAATATTACTTGTACTTCACGTCATCTCTCGTTGCTCGAAATGATGTAACTGAAGCTAACTGGCCATACTGACTGAAAGTTTAGGCTGCATCACGCATATAATATTCTGCACACTGTTTTGTTGTTTAACAAACACCAACAACAGTTGCTGCTGTAAATAGTACAGTCAACACTATGTGCTGATACATGTACGCATAGCGTAACTATTTTTAAATTTGATTGCTATACCAGTTTGCTTATTACGGTTATAACTTATAAGTCAATGAAAGTATTATTTAACTTAAATGAGTCATTACAATAGCATACATTACAACAGCATACATCCATTGCTGTGACTATTGAGTTGGGTGTATAAATCCATAAAGAGTCCACAGTTAATACTGTAATTGATTATATACATTAAATAATTACCACGGCAATTGCTTAATTTTAGGTCCAAGGGCACGTTTGTGTCATCAAGACAACACTTGGCTGGAAACTGGCTCAAATATTGGAAGCATCATTTAGGTAAGTTTATGTAAGTTATGATTTTTATTGATGAATTTAATAAGATAGAAAAAGAACACGGTTGTAAACTTTAATTTGGATATCTTCAGTCACATTTACGATCTTGATATTTAACCAATAACAACTTGTTATTCCTAACTCTCCAAACTTACTTTCTGCCCATGTTTCCTGTTAAACAGACTTCCCATTTGTCTTCTTATTTTGCAAAGCGCCAGAGTGTGTCCCATTTTGTTTTCACACTCTACTGCCAGACGTTGTTACTCGACACTGGGAAAGTGCTTGGACCGGTTGCACGAAGGTTGCCTAGCTCCATCCATCCATCAGAGATTTTTTCAAACTTTTGAAAAAGTAATTTTAATTTCTAAACACTAAATTTTAATCCTCATGGTTATACCAGTCAACATAGCGCTATCCTGTCCTGCCTTAGTACAACCCGGCCCCTGGGCATTAAGATCATTCATGTGCAAGTTGGATACACCCTCCCTGCAACAACAGTGTAATCCAATCGCGAATCGTTGATTGGAATGTTTCATTGAGATTTCGTTGTGAAAATTTTATTCTTCTCCATGGAATTCCTTTTGTGGCTTTCTTATTGTGGTAGCCTATGATGACGTAAGTCATAAATAAATGTTATAAACTTTAAAGTTATGGCTGCTCTATAATATTATACCAATTACTGCCATTCAAAAGAATTAATGAATAATCAATTTTAGGAAAAAGGAAAAGAATCGATGGCAGCACGTTTTCGCAACTAAGACTTCAAACTTTCGCCGGTAAGCGTCCTATTAAAAAAATAGTTTCTAAAGCATGCTTATTCTTGTTACCATTTAAATTACTTAGTTACCTTCGTTCAATTCGATGCTTACAACAAACATGTTATTATTGAATACATAGGACACAGTGATGTGGTAAAGGATATCCACATTCAAGACAGCGAGCATTTGTTTTTGTCCGCTAGCCGAGACAAAACTGTCAAGCTCTGGTTACTCAATAACCATGGCGACGGAACTGGCCAATCAGCTTGCTCCTGGACAACTTATGATCACCGTAAGCCAGTTTTTGCTGTGGATGTTATAGACGTGATGAGACAAGCGGTCTCGTGTGATGGTTCTGTTCATGTAAGTTCGTTTCAAAATTTCAATTAGGCCAAAAAAAATATGTGGGTTTCCCGACCCTACCTAGCTTTTGGACGTCGAAATCCCGACCCTAAACTTTTTTTATTGGATCATGCTTGTAAGTGTTTCCACTTAGAGGAAAAAGTGTGTGGAAAATTGAAATTTGAGGCAATATTAGGGAAATTTATCTTTGGATGTGGAAGCACTGACTAAACAAAATGGCGTCCGCTTATTCGAAAAAATAAAAAAAA